TGATTACGTCCAGCCAGACAGCCGGGCCATTAGAAGATCCCAGCGGGACGCCCTGTGCATCCGGGAGGCTTTGAAAGCTAGGTTCCTGAGTGAGCAGGGCAACCAGTGACTTTTCAGTTTGTGGACAGAAAAGCTGAACCTGCCCCCGTTTCTTTACCCAGTTCATTTTGACTATCCTCTCCAGTTACATACCCCCTTCACCCCCTTCCCCTTCCCAAAAAATAAAATCATTTCGATTTTGTTAATGAACACCGTTGTCTGTATTGCTGTTTTCGCGGGAATATTTTAAACCGGGGACGCAGACTGTGGCGGGGGGCGGGTTTAGTGTTCTGATGCAAATGATGCTTCTAAACTCCCGGAATGACAGGCTCCGCACTGGTGGACTGGTTATTTCAATGGAGCCTGCCAGCACTCCTGGGGGGGACTGTGTGTATGTGTCGGCTATGTGACTTTCTGGAAGGGGGGGTAGGGTTACAGATCCCCTGCTGCGTGGATCTGTGAGCCAGGATAAGGACCGCTGCATAAGATCTGTAACCGCCCTCCCCCACCACAAAGTAACAGAGCAACCCCCCCCCCAGAACATGAAAACCACCTCCAAGACTGACCAGGGTAACCAGTGACCGCACTGTGTATGTGTCCTGATGCTGGACCTGACACCGCCTCTGTACCCTGCTAAAGGTCACTGTCCTGTCCAATTACCAAGCCCCTTCCCCCCCTCCAGACAGACTCTCCCTCAAAAGAACCTGACTGAAACAGTAATGAACAGAAACAAACATTTTATTGCGAACCAGACATGAAACGTGGGGGGTGAAACTTGGACGGGGGCTTGTGTGAGGTGGGTAGGAAAGGACTTATGAAATTTTGGGGAATGTCAGCCTTCTACTGCTAGAGCAGTCTGCAGGGGTTGATTGAAAGTTTTAACGGCCCTTGCCGCCCCTCCTTCTTTGGACTTTGGGTGAGGGTGGTGTGGGACTTGGTGGCGGGTGAGGGCGGTTACAGATAGACTGCAGCGGGGCTCTGTCCTCCTGCCTCCGGTCTTGCAGAACATCCACAAGGCGCCGGAGCGTGTCCGTTTGCTCCCTCATTAGTCCAAGCAGCTTTTCAGTAGCCTGTTGGTCCTCCTGACGCCACCTCTCCTCCCGTTCCATGACTGCTCGGTGCATTTGTGACAAGTTCTCCCTCCACTGTGTCTGCTGGGCTGCCTGGGCTCGGGAGCAGCCCATTAGTTCTGTGAACATGTCTTCACGCGTCTTCTTCTTCCTCCGCCTAATCTGCGCTAGCCTCTGGGAGTGTGCTGACAGGCTGGGTTGGGAGACAGTCGCAGATGTGTCTGTGTGAATTTTAAAAAGGGAGTGAATTCCTGAGACAGATAAATGAAATTGTATACAAAGAACCTAGTCTTTCTCTGTGAACAAGACCATGCACTGAACCTCTCACATGCGCACTCAGGACAAGGTCGAATTTTCGGCCGTCGCCTTCAGTGCCTGTGGACTTGCGGAGGTCTTGGAGTGTTCAGAGAACTGTGGCTGGAGACCTGAACTTCTGGAGCGGGCAATAATGGTAAGCCGCAGACTTGTGGCTGCTTAAAACTCCAGCAGTAGCACTGGCCTCCTTTCACATTGAAAGCAATGCCAGTCTCTGCTGCCAGCAATCAGGACAGCATCAACTCTGCCCCTGTCCCACCCCCTCGCGGCTGTCCCAGGGAAAGATCCCTGTATGCTGCCCCTCTCCCTCCACCGCGTGGCTGTAAAGCAGTCCCAATACTAACATTCCCCTCCCTAATTCAAAGCAGGGCGTCATGAGCGACATCACCCTTCTGAGGATCCCGGACACCCAGAGAGAACGCATGCTGCGGGAAAGCATGCAGAAACCGGGGCCGTATGCCGCCATGCTATGTCGGGCCATGATCCCGGAGTACTTGATTGTGGCGTGGAGGGGGCATGTCTGCTACCACGGAGGGCCCACTAAGATCGCCCTACCCCGGAACCTGATCAACAGGCTTGAGCTCTACCTCCACGAGACCTACGAGGAGTTCTCCTACGAGGATTTCTCCTCGATCCCCGGCCACATTGACCGGATTTTCGCGTAGGTGCACTGGGACTATGGAGTGGAGCGTCTTGGGCCTGGGAATCATGGAGTAATGGACATTGTGAAAATTTTTTAAAACACTTGGGACTAAATTGAGAAGAGCCTAAGACAGAGAAATCATGAAAACCCATTTGTTACCTTTGTAAATATTCCTGTTTTGTACCTGATTATTTTTTTACTAGTTTACAGCACTTTTATAAATATACATTGTTAATAGTATAAATATTACCGTTCTGTTTTAAATAAATGTTTACATGTTTACAGCACTTACTGCTTGATCCGTCCCCTGATTCTGTGTCCGGGGTAAGGGATGGGGACGGTTGGTAGGGGATCTCGGTAAGGGTGATGAAGAGCTCCTGGCTGTCGGGGAAATCAGCGGTGCCAGCGCTGTCGACTGCCTCGTCCTCCTCATCTCCTTCCTCCTCTTCCCCGTCCGCTGAGGAACCGGCCGCGGACAATATCCCATCCTCGGAGTCCACGGTCAGGGGTGGGGTAGTGGTGGCGGCCGCTCCCAGGATGGAATGCAGTGCCTCGTAGAAACGGGATGTGTGGGGCTGGGATCCGGAGCGTCCGTTAGCCTCTTTGGTTTTTTGGTAGCCTTGTCTCAGCTCCTTGATTTTCACGCGGCACTGCGTTGCATCCCGGCTGTAGCCTCTCTCTGCCATGGCTTTGGAGATCTTCTCGTAGATCTTAGCATTCCTTCTTTTGGAGCGCAGCTCTGAAAGCACGGACTCATCGCCCCACACTGCGATGAGATCCAAGACTTCCCGATCAGTCCATGCTGGGGCCCTCTTTCTATTGGATTGCACGGCCATCTCTGCTGGAGAGCTCTGCATAGTTGCCACTGCTGCTGAGCTCCCCTCGATGTCCAAAGAGGAACTGAGATTCAAACTGCCCAGACAGGAAAATGAAAATGAATTCAAATTTTCCCGGGGGTGTGGCTGGTCAGAGCATCCGAGCTCGGACTGCTGTCCAGAGCGTCAACAGAGTGGTGCACTGTGGGATAGCTCCCGGAGCTATTACCGTCGATTTCCATCCACACCTAGCCTAATTCGATATGGCCATGTCGAATTTAGCGCTACTCCTCTCGTTGGGGAGGATTACAGAAATCGATTTAAAGAGAGCTTTATGTCGAACTAAATGGCTTCCTGGTGTGGACGGGTGCAGGGTTAATTCGATATAACGGCGCTAAAGTCGACATAAAAGCCTAGTGTAGACCAGGCCTTAATGACGTCCATCCATCTCCTCCTCTCTGCAGCTGAACTCACTGCTTCCTGTGTGCTTCCAGCCGCTGTTGGCCTGGGGATGCTTCTCTCTTGTTTTGATTGTGTGTGCATGTGTCTCTCTCCCTGCATGCAGAATCTATCCAATTTCTATCCATTCCCCATGACCGGAGCGCAAACGCCGCTGAACACCCTCCTCGCATTAGACTTGTGCTCCCAGCGTTTGGTTGACCAGACAGCCCTGTACGGTGTGTGTATGTTTGGTCTAGGTTACCAAGGCCTCGGCAGCGACTCCATAGTTAAGGCTGCATTGAAATCTCTCCTTAAATATCTCGATGGAGGTGGTGGATGGTATCTGTCTGAGGTGATCTTCCCGGCGAGCGCGTGCACCGATGCCCACGCCCTCGAGCCGTGCGCCTGGGAGATGTGCCTTCCTGGCAGGTAGGTGCAAGGAAACATGAACCAGAAGGTCATGCTCGTGGGCTGGGAGGGCATGAGAAAAGAGCATCGGTGACTGAGATTAAGTGGAGCTCTCCTGCCCAAAGGCTGTAATGAGCATGTGCGCCTTGAACTGTTTGTTTCAGGGGGATGCTAGTTGACCTCTTCCTCCCCCACTGTCCACCCCCTGCTTTCTCTCCTTCACCAACTCCAGTTATTAAGAAAGCAGAGCCGGAGGCAGTGCTGAGCTGGAGATGCAGCAACTCCCTGCGTTCCTCCTTGTGAGTATCCCTCGCTTTCTCCTCTTGCGCCTTTCCCGAGGAGACGGATGGATGGACAGCCGGGTGGCTAGAGGCAGATGGTTCCTGCTAATTACACAGCTAATGGAGTGGGGAGGGTGGGGAGCAGGAGACAGCCTCTTCCCAGCTCCCCCTCACCCTCCTCTGTCCTCGCCCCTTCTTCCGCCTCTCGCCTCGGGGTTGGCCATGCAGGAAAAACTGCTGACAGGTGAAAGGAAATGGGAAATTCAGTTACATCAGGAATTCCAGGGAGATGAGGACTCAGCAAAAAAAAAAGAAAGGAAAAAAAACAGAGGGAGAGAGCGAGAAAGAGAGAAGCCAGGGCTGCGCTGCCGCAGCTGCACGGCCGGCTGGATTGACAATCATTTAACCTCCCCCCAGCAACCAGCTTCGATCCTGGAATGGGACAGAGAGCAGCAGGGCCCTGATGGATGGACAGGGCAGGGGGGAGGGTAACGCTGGAACGGCGCCTGTTTGGAAACTCTCCTTTGGAACCTCCCCTCCCCCTTCTTCGGATGTGTTGTTCTTTCTTGCCTTTCTTCCTTTCTTTCTTTTTCTTTTAAAGAAACGAAAGCAGCCGCTGTCTCCCATTCCAGCTTATGTGGGGGAGGGTGGGTGGCCAAGTGAGGAAACAGCCACATGCGTTATTGCTGGGGCGCTCCCGCTGCTAAGGCTTTTGGCAGCGATAATGTGGGACGGTGGGAGCAGAGGAAGAGGGTGACAGATGTCAGAAGCGCCTCGAACTCTCTGGCTATTCTGCGAAGGGGGTGGGGGGGAGACAGAGCATGCTGCGGGAGCTGGGACAGCCAGCTGCATGGAGAGTAGGAACTGTTCCACTGCTGCATACATTACAGACTGCTCAGTGTGCAGGAGAATGCTCCTTTGTGGTACATGAGTGTAAATACTATTCTCTGTCTCCTCCCCGTCCTCTACCCTGCTCTCCTCCCTCCCCTCTACCTACTCCCTCTCTCTTCTCCCCAATCTCTCCTCTATCCCTCTGCCTCTCCTTTCTCTCTTCTTCCTCTCCTCCGTTTCGCCCCCTCGATCCCCCCTGCTTTATTCCATCCCCGTCATTCTCCGTCTCCCCTCCCCACCCCCAATCTTTCACAGGGGATTTCACTTTGCCAGGATACAGGCTGGTAAATTTGCAGCAGCCACCACGGAGAGAACACAGGAACCCCCCTTGGGCCCGCCGTGTCCCTTTGACGGAGCGTTCTGGATTCAGAGACCCCCCCAGCAGGGGTGCTTTGCTGGCATTCCCAAGCCTCCTGCCATCCCGCAAGCTTCGCCTGCCCTATCTCCCTCTTCGGCTGTTTGCTACATGGAGAACAAGAGCTGCAAAGGGGACAGCCTGCGGCCAGCTGTCCAGTGCAAACACTCTGTCGAGAAGAAGACAATGACTAACCCCACGACGGTGATTGAAATCTACCCAGACACCACCGAGGTGAACGATTACTATCTCTGGTCCATCTTCAACTTCGTATACCTCAACTTCTGCTGTCTCGGCTTCATCGCCTTGGCCTATTCTTTGAAAGTAAGTACTGATTGCAAGCCACTCTGTGGGGAACACACTGAGCCAGAGCCACAGCTGGGGTAAATCGGTGCCGTGGCTGTTGAAGTCAACAGAGCAATGCCAGTTTACCCCTGTGGAGGATCGGGCCCTGTCATGTTAATACACATTGTCAGGGGAGATCTTGGGAATGGAAATGTTGTTTTGTGAGTGGTGTGGGTATCCATGGCATTCAGATACCAAGGTGATGGGCACCACAGAAGAATCTAGATAGAGAGATAAGAGGAATCAGTGATGATGGCTCTGAATTGGCTTTTGTTGTGACTGGAGATTTGTAATTCTCACTCGTCTGCAGGCTTGGTTATAGCGTAATTCTGAGAACTAGAACAGTTGAATTTACTACCAGGAGGACAAACAACTTCCTCCCCAGGTAGCCAGAATCCCTCAGCATCTGGAGACCTGTGTGGGGCAACCCCCATCGCCATAGGAGAGGGCTTCAACTGGTGGTGGGGAATCCTGAATGCCGATAGGCTATTGGGGGCTCCCAGGTGTATGATGATGATAAGAAGCTCTTTACATCCTCCCAGTACTTTGCAAATCAAACTTAATTCAGCCTGGCAATGTTTCTGCGGGGGGGGCGGGGGGGGAGGCTGCGGGGGGACAAGTATTATCCCCATCTTGCAGATAGGAACACTGAGGCACAGAGCACTGAGGTGACTTGGTGATGGTCCCAGAAGAAGTCCATCTGAGAGCTGGGAATAGAATCTTGGAAATCCTGGCTGGCAGTGTGTTCCACGCACCAAAGCCTCTCACATCAGTCTGGTACCAGCATGCTGAGGCTCTACATATGGTAGTTTAGCTAGAGGCACTGGGCCAGATCCTCAAATCATGTAAATCAGTGACTCCACTGACTGCAGGGGAGCTCTGGTGATTTATGCAAAGTCAAAGATCTGGCCCAATACTGGAAAAGGAAGTCAGTCTTTCAAGAACTCCTTAGGGGGCTGATTAAATCTGGACTCAGCTGGGAGTCCTTCCATTGATTTCAGCAAGCTTTGGATCAGGTCCTTAGTGAGTGTTTCCTGGAGTATGAGGATAGTGAGGGCTCCAAAGAGAAGGAGGGAAAAGAGCAACTGTGCAAACTGGAGGACCCGGGAGATCGGTGGGACTGGCTTTAAGCACAAACACACCAAGCAGCCACTTGTGCCCCAGCTCTTTTGTCACCCCCATCCCATCCTCTACAAGTTCTGCCACTCCGAGCCCGGCCCCTCCTCTTCTAGCAGTGGGACCAGAAAGGCATGAAGCAACTTGTTTCCTTCCCTGGCTCTGGCTAAAGCAGCAGTGAGGAAAGCAGCTCATCGCCTGATTCTCCCCAGGGTCCCCTAAACCATAAGGCCAGCCTTGGAGACCTGCCAGGAATGTGAAAACGAGGTCTGCTAACTAAGGTGATGGAAGACCATGGAGGGCTTCATAAGGGAGGAATGGAAATAGATGCATGAATGAACTGCGAGCCAGCGTGCAGAGTGCAGCCCAGGGAGAATGGGACCTGAGTAGTTCAGGGGTGTCCAGCCTGTATCCTGCAGCCTGTGTCCTGCTCTCTGTTTGCTGGATCACCCCCGAAATGGAGTCAGAGTCTGATTCTAAGAGGCCAGTTGCCCCAGTCTGCTACTCTTCTCTGAGGGCTCCAGACCTCTGTGTGTCTGTAAGGTAACACTATCCTAAGGTAACGCTATCCTTTGAGACCATGAAACCTTCCGGAATTATTCCCTGTAAGTGCCAGATGAGAACAGACCAGCTGGCTGCAGGATTTCATTGCTGGTGAACTCAGCCAGCAAGCAGTTTCTAATCATCTGTCAAGGAAGAGAGGGTCTGAGGGTTTGGAGGGGTTTTGTTGTTGTTGGGTTTTGTTTTGTTTTTTTCATAAAAGCAATTAGATAATTATATATGTAAATGAGACCAGGCTCCTGGGTGGCCCTGAATGTGTCATCGTTTGGGTGGCCTCGGGGACAGGAATCTAGTGGATGTGTTTTGGCAGGCAGCGTTTACAGGAAGGCCAGTGTACAGAGGGATTTCATCACAGAAACAGATCAATTAACCCCATCTAACTCCAGTGACTGTGACTTCCACAAGAATACAAGGAGGCTGTTTCTGAACCAGCTAGGCCCTGGGGTTCTGTTATAGCAGAGTCAGTGTGGCCTAGACCACTGAGCACAGGGACTCTGATTGCCACTCGCTGGGTGACCTTGGGAAGTCCCTTACCTTCTCTGTGCCTCAGTTTCCCCATCCACGAAATGGGGGTGAGAATGCTCACTCACCTTCCTTGCAGGGGTGTCAGGAGGCTTAACTCACTGCTGTTTGTAAAGTGCATTGAATATAAAGGACTAAACAAGTGCTGAGTATTACCATTGCCAGGGTTGTCCCAAGGACATTTAGGGCCACTGCCAACATCAAACAAGGATGGTATGGAAGTCTCGCTTACCCCGTAACACTCCGTGGGATGGGCACACCAGTATAGGACAAGGAATAGGCTTTTCCCCTCTCCCCTGCCCCCCCCTCCATGTGTTTATTAGCTTAAATTTGCTTTAATAACATGGACGCTTCTCCCCCACAAGGGAACCATTGATGAGGGGGGTGGGGGAGGAATGACTAGGAGAGTTAGGCTGAACTCAGGAAAAGGAAAATATAAGCTGAAGATCAGGAGACAGCACTGTCTATCAGTCTGTGGAACAGTCTCCTGTTGGAAGTGGGGTAGTTCCCATCACTTGAGAAATATACAACTAAACTGAACCAGACAGGGTGAATTAGCTGTAGGGTACAGTCCTGCTCTGGCAGGGGATGGACTAGACCACGGTTTCTCAACCTTTTTGATATCAAGGATCAGCTTGCTGCCTTCCTAAACTGTGTCAGGGAGATATTGGGGACTGGCACCAGTCCACAGACCAGTCATTGAGAAACACTGGACTAGACGGCCCAACAGGTCTTTCCCATCTCGACTAGCTTCAGTTCTTTGGCAGAATAAAAACGGCAAACACAACGTTCCTCAGAGATCCATGACAGAGTCAGGGAATGGCAAGGAGATAGTGACCACGATATTTCAGGCCATGATGGGGAGAGAAATGGGGGAATATCTGAATGTAGCAAAAGAACCCCCCTGGGAAAGGCCTATAGAATGGAAGAGAAAATGTGGTCATTTCTATAGTCTTAACCATCCTATAGAGTTTTATAGAGAATGATATCCCTGCTAGAGAGAGAGAGAGAGAGAGAGAGAGAGAGAGAGAGAGAGAGAGTGTGTGTGTGTAAAGCAACAAAGAGTCCTGTGGTACCTTATAGACTAACAGACATATTGGAGCATAAGCTTTTGTGGTGAGTGTATGTGTGTGTGTGTACACACAAGTGCGTAAAAGACCTCCACTCTTTATTAGTTGCTATAGGACGTTAGAGTCATTTCTACAGAGCCCTATTGGTTTCATCTCTATCTCTGTTACATTTTGTAGGGCTTTCCCATAAGATAAGAAAAGACTGGAATGAGGAAAATAACTGGGAAAAATGTCCTGTTAGTTAGACCTTCTTCTTGTCCCCTGAAGCAAAGTTTAGACGTGCAGATTTAGGCCCCACTCCTTCAAGGAGCACCATGCTGAGTAGAGACCCAGTGGAGTCCATGAGAATGCGGGACCAGGGCTGCTATTATGAATAAAACCAAAGTGTTTCTTCATTGGGAACCACAGCTGTGAGATTTCCTGCCTAGGGTGCAGCCAATGCACTAAAGGCTTTAGGGTCCCCAGTTTTTGTTCTTTAAACTTACTTCACATAATGTAAAACTTTTAAAAACCCTACAAAACATTGTTTTAAATAACAAAAACGCAGAGTCCCATCAGCTTCATTAGGACCACTTGTGCTGAAAGCTAAGCACGTGTTTAAGTACCTTGCTGAATCAGGGCCTTTAGTGTGCTTTAATATTGCCTTTAAAAATGTTTCAGAAATAATACACTTACTTCTGTTCTTTCTTTGTCTTCATGCCTCCCAGGGTGCGTGTGGCTAGAGAGCTCTATAGATCTCTCGCTGTGTGTAGATTGTTAGACTGCAATAGCACCAAAATGTGCTAGATACTCTAGGCACACATTGGTCCCTGCACCAAAGAGCTTACATTCTCAGTCAGAGAAACATACCAAGTGGAGACTGGGCACAGGCTACAACATACAAGCCAAGTATTTGATATAAGCTTTGTATCTGCACACCTGGTCTTTACTTATACTCCCTCTTTCTAACCCATAGTGGGCCAGATCCTCAGCTGGTGTACATTGGAATAGCTTTGTTAACTGCAACGAAGCTGCATCAGTTTACATCAGCTGAGGGTTTGGCCCCAGCACTCCTTGGTCTGTAGGATCAGTGAGATGGAAAGGAAAAACTGTGCCTAGTTGTGAATGGATGTGTGTATTTGGAGGAGGGTGGAGGGAATGATTAGACGTGGGTGCAGAGAGATTTGAAAGCCCATGTCAGCACTAGCATTAGTACAGCACAGATGCCAACACCACCTGATAAACTTGGCTAGGAAGATGATTTTTTGTTTTTGTTTTGCCAGAAGCAAATTTTGTGGCCTTGACTTTTGCACAGGCTATTCAGCTTGCTTCCCCCCTCTCTCCTATTTCCCGGCTCTAAGCACTAATAAATGATGCATCAGCACTTACTGTTAAGAGATCAATCACCAGCAGTTTTATCACAAGAGACCTTTGGGGAAAGCCAAATCCTTCAATGTACCAATTACACAAAAAGGCAGTAGATCAGAGAGGCTGGGATCACAGTCAGTTTTTATTCTGGAAGTCTAATGTCAGGATGCATATATGGACATCAGGAAAATGAGGAACCTAGACTCCTTTTTGTGTCCACCCATAGTTCCAGGGTTTTACTGATTTTAAAAAAATCTTCCCATGTGTGTGTTCCATCAGGTGATCCTATGCTACTGCCAAAAGATGCATCACACCAAGCGTATGGGAGCTACAGGGCATCTGAGATCCTTGCATTTATATAGC